GGGGGGGGTGCACAGCCGGCAAAGGAGGGCCACTGCAGAGGACTCCGGAAGACACACAGAAACATTTTCTCTTTTAAATGCAAAAAAAATTATTTTCCTTCAGATACAATAGAGAAACTCCAAGCAAAAAAGGAAATGAGAAGCGTGTGTTGGAGTAAGTCCTGTTGTGAGCACCAGGTAAACACCGCATATTCAGTCCCGTAAGAACAATGGACTTCTGGCTCCTCAGCCTGAGATATCCTTACAGGGCACTGAGGCCAGAAGGCATTAGAAACACCCAACACAAAGAAATCTTATAAACAGGACAGTCTCCCTTTTCCCCCCAAACTCACGTCCCTATGGAGGAAGCAAATACTGAATCATATTAGAAAATGTAAATAAGATGGGAAAACTGAGGTTAAACAGTTACTGAACTTGTGGACATGACAGAGAAGGCCCCCTCTCTCTGGCCAGGTTGGTGAAATGCTCTGGGTGGAAGGTAAAAAGATGCATGGATGGGTGAGAGGGTAACTCTGCTGAGTGGAGTGAAATGTTAAGTAGGGTGCTATTTAACCCATGGGCTAAGAGCCAGGTCCAGTACAAGCCTGAGACGGTGGGGACAGGGGTCAGGCACTCACAGCGACCTCTGGTCTGATGGGCCCGGGCAGGACCTGCCACTGCCTCTCTGTATAGAGGAAGCCGTGCTAACCCAGGGCCGGGTGGCGTCTGCCCTTGCCTTCCCCAGGCTGAGCGGGCAGTTCTGTGGGGCCTCAATCCTCACGCAGGTAGGCCTCCTGCTCCTCCGGCTCGGCCCTCTCATTCCCGTCCTCCTGGGTTTTCTGTCGGAGTTCTTCTGTCTGTGCTTCTGCCAACTTGGTTTCTGCCTTCTGGGAAAGCTGGCGTACCTCCTGCACCTGCGATTTCACCAGCTGGATGTGACTCCTGGCTGTTATGGAGGCCTGGTCCGCGCCTGCCGGAAGATGGGCCATTTATGCTGAGTGGACACAAGGAAAGCCTGGGGACTCTTTGTGGTTGTACCTGAGCCCTCCCCGCAGAGTAGAGAACCTTCTACCTATACAGGTCGGTTTTCCTCTCTATTGTCAAAACCCTGGCATTTTCCTCCAGCTATCAGCAGTCATCATAATTATAAAATGCAACTCCCACAATCATCTTTATAGCTGCACAACTCTTAGTATAGGCTTTTTAAGATTTTAATTTTTTAAACTATATTCAACTAATAAATTTCTACCTGACAAATGAAGAGATCACTAACAAAATTGTCAAAGCTCTATCTTTTGGAAGTTTAAAGAGCATCTTTCTCATCCTTTAAAATGTTACTATAAAGTAACATAATTAATACTAGATGGGCTGCTGTTCAACTCATGAACCACTAAGGCCAATTAATCTTTTTAAAAAATTACTGTATTCACATGGAATACACAGTAAAAAATTGACTCTAAATTGACATAATGGCATAAACAGTATTTACTGAACACATTTTGCAGTTTTATTTTTGAGTGCTATCATTTTTTGATACCCGTTGCTAGTGTATTTCATCATATGAAAGTGAGTCACTCAGTCGTGTCTGACTCTTTGTGACCACATGGACTACACAGTCCATGGAATTCTCCAGGCCAGAATACTGGAGTGGGTAGCCATTCCCTTCTCCAGGGGATCTTCCCAACTCAGGGATAGAATCCAGGTCTCCCGAATTGCAGGTGGATTCTTTACCAGCTGAGCCACCAGGAAAGCTCATATAGATGTGCATATTTAATTCATCTACAGAACACTCGAGCAGTTCTTTCCTATCTTACTGCATTAAAGAGAACCTTTAGTACAATGTTAAAAGGAAGTGGAGAACAGCAGGCACCCTTATTTCTGACATTGATGGAAATGTTTCTTATATTTCACTATGATGTACGGCTACTTTTATCATCTTAGGAAAACTATAGTTGTACTTAATTTAGATTTAAATCATAAATGGACACTACATTTTACTGAAGCTTCCTGGGGCATACATTGATATGATTACAGAGGTGGCTTTTCTCCTTAAATCTACTGTAGATAACCTTAAGCGGTGAATTAAATGTTGGTAGGTTTTGGGGTTTTTTCACTGTATGTACATAAGACCCTTTAAACTATATTTACTGAAGTCGAGTTGATTTACAATGTCTTAATTACCGCTGCACAGCAATGTGACTCAGTAATACAGATGTTCTTTTTGCAAATATTCTTTTCCATTACGGTTCATCATAGGATACTGAATATGGTTCTCTATGTAATGGAGTAGGACCTTGCTGTTTGTCCATTCTATACATAAAAGCTTTTACCTGCTAATCCCAACCTCCCAGTCCATCCCTCCCCCAGCCCCTCAGCAACCAGCAGCCTGTTCTGTGTCCATGTTTGTTTCATAGATAGGTTCATTTGTGTCATATTTTACATTCCACATGTAAGTGATATAGTATGTGTGTTTTTCTCCTTCTTAGTATGATAATCTCTAGTTGCATCCATGTTGTTGCAAATGGCATTCTTTCTTTTTTATGGCTGAGTAGTATTCTGCTGTATATATGTACCCCCATCTTCTTTCTCCATTCATCTGTTGATGGATATTTAGGTTGTTGCCATGTTTCGGCTATTGTAAATAGTGTTGCTATGAACACAGGATTGCATATATCTTTTGAATTATAGTTTTGTCTGGGTACATGCCCAGGAGTGGGATTGCTCCATCATATGTAGTTCTTACTTTTCTGAGTCATCTCCATTGTTTTCTGTAGTGGCTACATCAACTTACATTCCCACCAACAGTATACAAGGGTTCCCTTTTCTCCACACCCCCTCCAGCATTTGTTATTTGTAGACTTTTTAATGATGGCCATTCTGACTGGTGTGGGGTGGTACCTCATTATAGTTCTGATTTACATTTCTCTAATAATTAGTGATGTTGAGCATCTTTAAATGTGCCTGTTGGCCATATGTATTTCTTTGGAGAAATATCTTACATGTTCTGCCCATTTTCTGATTGGGTTTTCTTTTGTTGCTGTTGCTGCACTGTATGAGCTGTTTGTATATTTTGGAAATTAAGTCTTGTCGGTTCACACTGTTTGCAGTTATTTGCTACCATTCTGTAGGCTCTCTTTTTTGTTTGTTTCCTTTGTTGTGCAAAAGCTTCTAAGTTTGACTATGTCTCATTTATTTACTTATTTTTTTTTTTTTGAGGTTCAACAAAGAGTTTATCAAAGAGGGGGAACATCCAGCTAAGACTAGAACCTCAGAAGGTTAGAAACACACCTATTTTAAGGTTTGCAGCCTAAACGTCAGATGGGAGTAATAAGGAACCCCAATGAAGGACTCCTCACATAGAATTCCATCACAAATTAACAACAGGTTATCATAAGTGAGGGAAATGGCAGTATAGCAGAAAGAATTTATTTTAACTTATACCTCTAATTAAGCAACATTTGAAACTTTTTTGTTTAGTGGAAAGTTTATCTACTGCTTAATAATAAAATACCCCCAAACACACACACACACACATATATATGTATAACTCACATACCATTAAATTCCCCCTAAGGCATACAATTCAGTGGTTTTTTCAGTATAGTCACAAATTGGTCAGACCATCACCGCTAATTTCAGAACATACAGTGTCAAGTGTAAACTGTTAGTTGCTCAGCAGTGACCAACTCTTTGCAACTCCATGACTGCAGCCTCTCAAGCTCCTTTGTCCATGGGATTCTCTAGGCAAGAATACTGGAGTGGGNAAAAAAAAATGCAAAAACAAAGGAGAACAGTCAATCAAGACAAAATAATACTGGTTTAGTCATAAAACAAAATCAATGACCTTTAGTTTTGCCTCGATGACTATACAGAATATCCTTAGCCAGATCCTTGGGGTTTTCTTTGCAGATACTAAAACCCCCAGCATGTGGGAGAAGTGAACTGTATCCTGACCACAAACATGCAGACTCTAGACCAGTTGGAACCATAAGGTTGATGATATTGTTATTTTAATAACTTCCAAAATACCACACTGTTATCTCACCACCAACCAGTCAGAAGAAAGTCCATGAGCTGATCATGCACCCTACAACCCTTTCCCCTACTGTTGCCTTTAAAAACCCTTCCTGAGAGCTATCAGGGAGATCAGGTATTTCGAGCATGAGCTGCCTGTTCTCCTTGCTTGGTGTTTCGCAATAAACACTGTATTTGCCTTCACCACAACCCAGGGTCTATAGGCTGGCTTTGCTGCACATTGGGCAGGCAGACTCAAGGTTGTTTCTTTACCTTAGAAGAAGCAGAACCCCTAGCTCTGACACACTTTCTGTAAGCCTTTTCCACTGCCTGCCACCCCAGCCCACCACCACCACTACATACACACACAGAGGAAGGCTTTAGGAATGTAAAAGGAGTGAGATATCTGTCTCACAGCCGACTGTATTTAGAGGCAAGTTTCCAGCCTCCCTTCTTAGTCTCCCTGGGACAGTTTTCAGATAGGAGAATGGACCAGGTTCAGGACCAGAACATGTCAGGTGTATTCCAGTGGTGTGGAGAGAATCCTGAACTGACCTGTCCCCTGATGTTTCTGGATGGTGGTATAGAAGGAAGAGATGCAGTGAGGCAGTGGGCAGGGCAGCCACCTCTTTCTTAGAACATGTCTCCAAACCTGTGCGTGGACCTGGGCTCACAGACAGTTCTCCTGTGCACAGCCCGTCTGCTTCCTTAGTGGAGCCACAGACCACACACTGGCACTAGAAGGGCCCCAAGAGACTCAGACCAACTCTGTCCTTTAACAAGGCCAACCCAGATGCCAGCGTGCTGAGGGCCTTGCCCAAGCAAGGGTGGAGCTGAGATCTTTGCACGCTGCCTTGTAACCACACCCTGC